ATCAATGTATCGTTATAATATGTAGTTTTTTAAATATCTTTGTAATTTGGTTTTATATTTATATTAAAATAATTAAAAAAATCATAATTAATTTTAGTGTATATATATTTTTATTGGGTTTCATTTCTAACCTACCTCAACTTGTTTGAGACTAAAAGGCTTTATTGTTGTTGTTGTATAATTAATTTTAGTCTATATATATATTTTTTTAATTCAATTCTACTTAAATAAAATTTGTATCCAACCTAGATTGTTATGAATATTTGCACATTAAATGTCACATATTCAATAGCCCCAGCCTTGCCTCTGCCACACATTCATTATTCATGAGCCATAATTTTGCTGGGTTTGACTTGTGTTCTACCATTCTATGTGAACCTAATATTTTAAATAGTACTATCTTTTTTTTAAAAAAAAATGTCATTATGGTTTTATCAATAATTAACTAAATAAATATCGTTTTGGATATTTTGTACATATTTTTTTCATTATTACCCACATCTAGCTAATAAATACACTGCGTCTTCTCAAAACATTCATTTTTATTCTCATCCTCCTATATATTAATTCAGAACGCGCTGAGCCTACGTGACTGTTTCTGGTGCTTCGCAATCCTATGTGGCAAAATTATATGCTTCGTTATTAGGCTTGGATAAATTTTAATTTAATTCCAAACCAAAAATAATTAGGTTCGGATTACCATAAATATGTTGATTATTTATGGTCATGTTACATGTATTAATTGCATTTTAATATCATTCCTTATTATAACTATTGAATTGTATATATATTTTAAAGTTAATAATTTTTGTATTTTTTATCAGTTTTACATATGTAATATATCAAATTAATCTTCTTTTGATGAGCTTCGATTTAACATCCATATTGTATGTATAAAAAATAATTTATATTTATCTTTATTACAATAATAAAATTATTTTTAATATTAATTAGAAAAATAAAATTATTTATCAACTAATATATTTATATTTCAAGTAGTTATATGATATAAGTTATAGAAAATAATATAATTTAACACATGTAAGTCATAAGTAACACATATCATTCTAAAATATATAGTAATATATTTTTTTTATATAAAAAAGTAAGTTAAATTTAATATAGTTTTCTCATTAATTTTAAAATTTAAGAATAATATTTTAACAAGTACCCGTGTAATACACGGGTATTGTACTAGTTAATGAGAGTTATTATTGAAAAAAAAAATATTTTTAATTTTTGTGCAACTTATTAAAATGACACTTATTAAAAATAGGAAGGAGTATTATTTCGGTTGTTGGTTAAGATCCAACCAAACAAGAAATATTCCCAGTGACTAGGAACTGGATAAACATCAAGTTCCAACAACACGACTTTCTTTAGTTTTGCGATTCTATCCTCAAAAGGGAGTGCCCAAATGCGCTTCTTTTTATGGTTCTTTTTGGGTGTTGATTTATACCGCCCCCCTTTTCGATTATTACCGCCCCCCTAAAAGTCGTTTTTGCCCTTTCTAATAAAAAAAAAAAATACATTCATTATTCACTTTACA